GTGTCTGACATGGGAAGAGGCTGCCGTTCATCAGCATGAAGAATCCGTTGGAAGGGCAGGTCTGGAGTACCAGAGGCACTGAGCCCCATGGAGCTCAGACCTCATCTTTGGTAAGTGTGGGCTTTGTAACATTCCGTTAAACTGAAGTAGGACCTGTGTGCAATGGGTGTCTCATTCACTCCATGGTATTTGCTCACTCCACACAGAGAAGGTGAACTTCACCTCCTTGGCGAGCCTCCCAGGCAGCTCAGTGTGATTTCCCACTCCTGCTCAGGGCATTGCTTCACCACAGCAACATGGGCTCGGGAGTCAGACAAATCAGGCTTCAACTCCCCCGGCAGCCTGTGGGAGCTCGGGCAAGTCCAACTGCTCTGAGCCCCCATTTCCTCATCTGCAGAGTAGCCGCCTGCAAAGGTCGTTATTGGGTTTAGGGTTATTGTATCCTCTGGAATTGGCCCCTCTGTCATGATGAAATGGCCATGGCTGCGCTCTTGGCTCTGAAATCCATTTTGTCTGATATTAAGTCACTCAGCTCTCCTTTGAGGAGTGTGTGCATGGCATCTCTTTTTCCACCTTTTTTACTTTTAACCTCTTTGTGTCTTTAAATTCGAAGTGCGTTTCTTGGAGGCATATAGTTTGGTCTTGCTTTTCTATCCAATCTGGGCAAGCTCTGCCTTTTAATTGGGGTATTTGCATTTAAAGCGTTTTTGAACACGGTTTGGCTTACATCTACCATATGGCTGTTTGTTTTCTATTTGAACAATCTCTTCATTCTCTGCTAGTTCTTTTCCTGCCTTCTTTTGGATTGATTTCGGATTGCTGGATTCCATTTTAACTCCTTTGTTGGCCGATTAGCTATAACTCTTCATTATTTTAGTGGCGGCTTTAGGGTTTATAGTATAAATCTTCAACTTCCCACGGTCAGTCTCCTTCCAGGTGACGTGATACCTCGCTTCCGGCCTTTATGTGATTATTGTCACACATTTTACTTCTACCTATGTTGTAAACCTCACTCTACATGATTATTATTTTTTGTTGAGAGAGTCCATTACCTTTTAAAGAGATTTAAACACTAGGACAAATCTTCTACATTGGCCCAGAAAGTTACCGTTTTTGGCACTTTTCATTGCTTTGTGCAGATCTACGTTTCTATCTTATATCATTTCCCTCTGTGTGAAGAACTTCCTCTAATATTTCTTATAGTGAAAGTCCCCTGGTGATGAATCCTTTCAACTTCGCCAAGTCTGACTATATCTTTATTATACCTTTTTTTTTGAAATATAATTTTGCTGAGTATAGAACTTTATCTTTTTTTTTTTTTTTTCCCTTTAGTACTTTTTAAAATGGTGGTCCAGGGGCGCCTGGGTGGCTCAGTCGGTTGGGCGTCCGACTTCAGCTCAGGTCATGATCTCGCGGTCCATGAGTTCGAGCCCCGCGTCGGGCTCTGGGCTGACAGCTCAGAGCCTGGAGCCTGTTTCCGATTCTGTGTCTCCCTCTCTCTCTGCCCCTCCCCCATTCATGCTCTGTCTCTCCCTGTCTCAAAAATAAGTAAACATTAAAAAAAATTAAAAAAATAAATAAATAAAATGGTGGTCCACTATCTTCTTGCTTGTAATTTTTTTCCGGTGAGAAATCTGCTATCAACCTTTATCTTTGTTCTTTTATACATAACATTTCTTTTTTTCTTAGGCTGAGCCTTAAGGTATTCCAGACTGGCCTGTGGGAAAAGGCGCTATTCTCAGTCCCATGTGAAGACCTTATACCTCTCCCTCCGTTCCTTCCACATGATTCTTTCCCTCACACACATGCAATAATCAGTGCTCAGCTGAATGGTCAAAGGGGACCACTGCAGACGCCTGAATTCTCTCTCTGACCGACCAGTTCTCTTCTGTCCCCTACCCTGTTCTGTGAATTCCAGATGCTTTGGTTTCCCTGGAATCTCAGCATCTTCAAATCGGGGAGTTCGCTGCGCTCTGCCTCGGCTGCCCCGCCTAAGGGATGGTGTGGAAACTCTCTCAAAGCAGTAAAATTGGGGCAAATGTAGGGCTCATCTGGTGCCTTTCCTCGCTGTCAGAGATCACTGTCCCTCACTGCCTGATGTCCAGTGTCTTGAAAACCGTGTAGTTCACATATATCGTCCACCTTCTGGCTGTTTCAGTCAGAAGGGTATACATGCCACATGGAACTTCAACCTGGTTGGAGCAGGAGCCCCCAAATGCTCATTTCACAGAATCGTAGGGTCACCCAATTCCATGCACAGCACACAGTGTCCCCCCTCACATTATCTGGGCCTCAGGATAGGGAACGTGTACCTACTACACTGCTCTACACACAGAGACGGAACTTAGAAATACTTAGCAATGACTCCTAATCAGCAGTTGTTAAGGCAATGGTGTGCTTGCACGAACAGGAATTATGAAAATTCCAATCAGTATTGTTCACTTGATCTAATTGTGGGAAAAAAAATGGTAGGAAATGTCATTCATGTCAGGCTTTATGCACAAAAAGTGACAGACTACGCTTCCACCCGTGCTCTGCATTTGTCTACTTCATTGCTAAAAATGTTCTTTTCTCAACTAAATGTCACTCTTGCAACATTCAACCTATCACCCGAAGAAAGCGACAATTGCTGAGATTCCTGTAGAAAGAGCCAACCTGAGACCTTCTCATGGTTTCCTGACACACAGTGATAATATTATTAAAGGAGACCACCAAGTGCTATGGATGTTAAATGTGGAGAGAAAGAACTTCAGAACCCACACGTTTGCACACAACAGTTTAAGAGCAACCGTGCAGGGATGGTGAACTCTCTCCTAGGCCAAACGTTGGAGGCCGCTGGGTCTTGAATCTTCCCCTCAGTCCCCAGAAAAGCCAAGCAGACAGGAAGAACTGATCACTTTTGTAAGTGTCAATGCTTGGGAGACATTACAATAGCCTTTTTCTCTTTCCCATTTGCAAATACATAATCTTAAATCCCAAAGAGCCAAATTAGTAACATTCCAGTGAAACGAAATTATCAGAGATAATGAATGCACAGGGCAACAGTTCAATCAACGAATCTGTCTGTTCATCATCCTATTTGCCATCAGTCCGTCTGCCCCTCAGTCCAGCTGTCCATCATTCTGTCTGTCCTTCAGGTCATCCAGTAGGTTATGAAGGCCCAGGGGAAGAAGGCCACTGGGCATGTCGGCCTATGAAATGCATCAAAGGGAATGAGCCAAGGGAGGAAGACTAGAAGACCACAGGTGGTTTTGAGCACACCCTCGGGTTGAGTCACCTGTCGGAAGCCACAATATCTGCATCTGCTCAACACTCCCAGCAGAGCCCTAACCCTCCCCTCTGTGGGCTACCTCTGCCTGAGGGGGCAGGGGGTCACTTCCGGTCTTACCTCCCACCTGCTAACCTAAATTTTCTTGCTGTACCCAACAATCCCTGTTCAAAGAGACAGCCACCTCCCTGGAGCTACAGGTGGAAACCAGCCATGTGGCAGGAGGCCTCCACCTTGTCGGGTCACTAAGGAATGTCACAATGAGCCACTGCACCTAGCTGCCTCAGAGGACCTCGGCTCCTGGTCCAGCTGTGCCCCAGTGCCAGCTGTTATTCTGTTCTCCATTCTCTTTCTTTTCATGTGGACTCCCACACAACAGCCCCACAGGAGCAAAGCAAGCATGCCCGTCACCAATGTCACCACCACCACCATCGTGGACAGAGTGCACACCTACCTAACTGAGGCCTCCCTGCATCACGGGCACATCTTTACTTGGCTACCTTAAGAGAAATGATTACACTGGCTCTCAGAGGAGAGAACGCAGGAGGCTCTCATTCCCATCCAGATGGTTCGTGTGGGACAAACCCTGGGGCTCTGCCTATTGTGAAGGTCCAGCCCTTCCTCACCTTGCTCCTTACCCCTCCAGAGGCCCCAGCTCTGATACACAGAGGCAGGGTGACAGGCTTTCTGGAAACTTAGCCTTTCCCTTTTGTTTCCCACCAACGTCCTTAACTTGCTCTTGAGCCCTTCGTTCTCACTGAGGCCAAAACTCTTCCTCTTCCTTCCCCTGCAAGTTCAGAGCTGCCGTCTGTAGGCCAATATTCAGCCAGATTCAGGATTAAACTCAGGCCAAAAACCCAGCAGGGGCTCCCTGTCCCCTCCTTCCTCCAGGAAGTGTCTTTTGGAGGCTCCAGCAGCACCTGCATCCTTCCCGCACGTGGAGGAAGCAACGCAGCCCCTGGGGGTCGCCAATGCAGGGCTGTCATCTGGGGATAAACCCCAGGCGCCACCGCAGCTGATGCCCCGAGCCCTGCCATGCCACGGTGTCACAGGTCCACAACCCCACACCACACCTGCCATGCCTTCACACACACCCCGTGGGTCCCCCTTCTCCCCAGCTCTGAGCACCCATAGGGTTGCAGAGACTCCCTATTTGTTTCCCCGAACCTTGCGGGCACCTGTGCTCTCAGGGTTGTGGGGGGATTGGGCACAGATTCTAGCTGTTCTCAACGTCCCCCTCAACTCTCCAAAGACTCATACTGACACTTCTCAACACCTCGTGCCCCTCACTGCACAATCCAGGCTGAGGCCCAGGGCTGGGGACACACTAAGCAGTCTCCAAATGCTCGGCACATCCCTGTCTGCCTTCTTCCCCGGGGCTGGACAGCCCCGAGGTCATTTCCTGTATCCTCCGCAAGGGGGATTTCAAACACTGGAGCGGTGCTTTCATCAGCCGACCCTCATTGGCCCTTTCCCATACTGTCCACAACGGCCAGCGCAAGTTTAACGATATATAGACTGCGGGCCTACACGGGCCAGGCCACCCGGCCAGCGTTTTACAATTACCGTCCGCACCAGTCCTCGCAGCAGGGTAGGGGGCGGACACGCGTGATGCACCCCAGGTCACCCGGGCTCTGGGTTTCCGCCCGGCTCCGAAGCCGATGCTCCGCTCGCTGGCGCACAGGGCTGGCCTGGCACGCACGCTGCAGCAGGGGGGTCCTGCGGGGCTCACCATGCCTCCTGTGCACTCGGGGCAGTCCTGCAGGCAGCTAACGTTCTCCCACGTACTGTAGGCCTTCAGCCCCGCCACCAGAGCCTGCAAGGGGCGACTGTCCACGAGCTCCTTCCCACGGAAGACGTCCTTGTCCAGGAGGCCCCCGGCAGACCTGCGAGAGGAGCGCAGGCCTATGATGGAAGCAGCAGCCCCGCCCACCACCACGGCACCACGGCGCAGGCGCGTCTGAGGCCGGGCGCAGGTGCCACCTGCTCCTTCCTCAAGACGCTCCCGAAGGTTCCATGTGCCCTTCAGAACTGTCACCCTGCACCCTGCCACCGTGAGGCTGCACCACGCCACCTCTCCTGGGAAATCTCCCTTGCCTTCTGTCCAGGTTCACTTTCCTGCCGGTCCCTCAGAGGCCCCATGGTTCACACTGACGTTTGTCTTCGCACCCCTAGACCCCACGAAAAGCAGGCACTCGGTTTCACGCTCTCCCTGTTTTGGTCTACCATATAGGATCATATTCCAAACCACCTCCCTCTGCCCTTCACACACAAAAGTTTTACATGTCTCTCGTATTTTTAATTTGTCTAATGCTACTGCCACTGAACGTGCGCTAGGTGGAATAAATAATGCCCCCCCCCCCAAGATGTCCACGTCCTCGTCCCTGAAACCTGGAGTACGTTACCCCCACGTGGCAGAAGGGATTTTTCACTTGCGATTAAATCAAGGATCTTGCGCTCGCTCGGTAGATCATCCTGGATTATCCAGGGGAGCCCACTGTAATCACGAGGTTCCTTATAAGTAAGAGGGAGGCCAGAGGAGAAGATGTGACAACTAAGCAGTCAGGGAGACGCAGCGAGAGACTCGACTGGCCATTGCTGGTTTTGAAACGGGGGAAAGGGCCATGAGCCAAGTAATGAGGTGGCTTCCAGAAGCTAGAAAAGGCAAGGAAGCAGATTCTCCCCCTAGAGTCTCCGGAAGGAGTGCAGCCTGCTAGCGCTTTGATTTTTCATGGAGACCCACTCCAGACTTCTGATCTCCAGAGCTACAACAAATTTGTGTTATTTTAAGCCACCAAGTTTGGGCAATTTGTTTTAGTGCCGATAGGTATACAGAAATGAATAATTTCTTCCTTCAAAGTGGTAAAAGTCACTGTTTCCCTTCACCTCTCAGCCACCTGTGGCCACAAGTGCTGCACAGTGCAATGTCTATGGGCCTCCCTCCATCTGCACACCTCCCCCTCAGGTTTTCTTCTTTGTCATATTTCAAAATGCTGTAATGGAGAGTATAGGTTCCCCTCTCTCTCCCTTCTGAACACCTTCCTATTGACCTGTTTTTAAAGTCTCTTAAAATGAGTTATTGTTTGTAATAACTGCTGGGAACAAAATCCTCAGTGAACTCTTTCTCTCTATGCTCAACCAAACTCCAGGACCTAAAGTCAAGTGTGGTAAACACACTGGGGTGGGTACTTTCCTCTAAGCACCTCAAACTCATGGAAAGTACCATGAAGTATGGCCTTACTGGTCTTCTCAACTGAAGCCCCAGACTCAGGAGATTGATAAGAGTGTTTGCCGTTAGACGTGATGATTCATTGTTTTCTATCAACTGAGTGTCATCTGTTGAGATACTTACATGGTGTTTCTCCTTTATAAGGTGACTATGGTAAATCATACAAATTGACTTTCAAATGTTACACAAACCTAACACTCCTAGGATAAACCCCACGTTTGCTATATATTATTTTACAGTAAAATATACGGATCTACTAACATTTTGTTCACAAGGGATATTAGTCTCACATGTCTTTGTCTGGTGTTTGATGTCAGGGTGATACTCCTAAAGTGAGTTAGAAAGGTTTCCCTTCTCTTTCATTTTCTGAAGGAGTTTGTGTAAAGTTAGTATGTTTTATTTTCTTAAGTATTTGGTAGATTTCACCAGCAATGCCAGATGAAGCTATTCAGATTTTTCAGTTCTTTCTGAGTCACTTTTAGTAACATGTATCTTTCATGAAATTTTCTATTTCCTATCTGTTGTCAAACATATTGGCATTACATTGACATGACACCAATAATAATAATAATATTTAATTTTATCCTTTCAGCGTCTGTAGGATGTGTAGTGATGTCATCTCATTTATTTCAGATCCTGACCATTTGTCTCTTTTTTTCTTAATTAGTCTAGCTGAAGGTTTATCAATTTTATCTATCTTTTGAAAGAAAAAAATAATTTTTGGCTTAATTAGGTTTATTTTTGGCTATTTCTTCTTTCAAAGGCTTCTCTCATTTTTCTTATTCTTTGTGCTTACTTTGAATTTGATTTGATCCTTTTTTTTCTAACTTCTTACAATGGAAATTTATACCATTGGTTTTCCACCTTTCTTTTTTTCTTTCTTTTTTTTTTTTTTTTTTAAAGTAGGCTCCACGCCCAGTGTGGAGGCCAACTCAGACTTTAAAGTCATGACCCTGAGATCAAGACCTGAGCTGAGATCAAGAGGTGGGTGCTTAACTGACTGAGCCACTCTCAACTGACAGGTGCCCCTCTACCTTTCTTCTTTTCTAATGTAAGTATTTAAATGATAAATTTTTGTCTAAGCACTGCGTTAGCTGTGCACCACATATTCTGATATGTTCTGTTTCATTTTCATTTTGTTCAAACTATTTTCTGATTTCCCTGTGATTTCTTTTTTGACCTATAAAGTATGTGTGTTGTCTAATTTCCTAATGTATGGAATTATTCCAGACGTTTTCATTATTAATTTCTAATTTAATTTCATTATAATCAGAAAACATATTTTGCATGATTTCAATCCTTTACATTTACATGGTCTGTCTTAATAAATGTTCTATGTGCACTCGAAAAGAATAGACATTTTTTCAAAGAAAGACCTACAGGGGCGCCTGGGTGGCGCAGTCGGTTAAGCGTCCGACTTCAACCAGGTCACGATCTCACGGTCCGTGAGTTCGAGCCCCGCGTCAGGCTCTGGGCTGATGGCTCAGAGCCTGGAGCCTGTTTCCGATTCTGTGTCTCCCTCTCTCTCTGCCCCTCGCCCGTTCATGCTCTGTCTCTCTCTGTCCCAAAAATAAATAAATGTTGAAAAAAAAAATTAAAAAAAAAAAAAGAAAGACCTACAGATGGCTAACTAACATGAAAATATGCTCGACATCACAAATCATCAGGGAAATGCAAATTAAAACCACAATGAGATATCATCTCACACCTGTCAGAATGGCTAAAATAAAAAACACAAGAAATAACAAGTGTTGGTGAGGATATGAAGAAAAAAAGGAACCCTTGTGCATGGTTGGTGGGAATGCACAGTGGTGCAGCCACTGTGGAAAACAGTATGGTGGTTCCTTAAAAAAATAAAAATAAAATTACCACATGATCCAGTAATTCCACTACTGGGCATTTATCCAAAGAAAATGAAAACACTAATTCAAAAAGATACACGTACCCCTACGTTTACTGTAGTATTATTTACAATAGCCAAGATATGGAAGCAATCCCAGTGTCCATTAATAGATGAATGGATACAGAAGATCTGGTATATATACATACAATAGAATATTATTCAGCCATAAAAAAAAGAATGAAATCTTGCCATTTGCAATAATATGGATGGACACAGAAGGTATAATGCTTAGTGAAATAAGTCAGCCAGAGAAAGACATATCCCATATGATTTCACTCATATGTGGAATTTAAGAAATGAAACAAGTGAACAAAGCAAAAAGAAAGAGAGAGAACAAAAAAACCCAGACTCTTAACTACAAAGAACAAACTGATGGTTACCAGAGGGGAGGTGGGTGGAGGGGGGATGGGTGAAATAGGTGAAGAGGATTAAGAATATGCATATCTTGGGGCGCCAGTGGCTCAGTCGGTTGGGCGTCCGACTTCGGCTCAGTTCATGATCTCGCGGTCTGTGAGTTCGAGCCCTGCGTCGGGCTCTGCGCTGACAGCTCGGAGCCTGGAGCCTGCTTTGGATTCTGGGTCTCCCTCTCTCTCTGCCCCTCCCCCACTCACACTCTGTCTCTATCAAAAAATGAATAAACGTTAAAAAAATTAAAAAAAAGAATATGCATATCTTGATGAACACTGAATAATGTACAGAATTGTTGAATCGGACATGTATTGTTCACCTGAAACTAATACAACCCTGTATATTAATTATACCTAAATAAAATAAATAAAATAAAAGAGAAAAGAGAAAAGAAAAGTGCATTATGTTGTTGGGTATTCTGTAAATGTCATTTAGGTCAGGCGCATTAGTAATATTGTTCATATGTTTTGTATCATTACTGTTTATTATATCGATTTTTGAATTGATTTTATTATATCACTTATTCAGAAGGACTGAGGTCTGCAACTTTAATTTTAGATTTGTCAATTTCTCCTTTCAATACTTGCCACTTTTGCTTCAAGTATCTTGAAGCTATTTTGTGAGTCCAAGTCCATACACATTTGATTTTTATGTCTTTCTGATGAGTAGACTATCATTATGAAGTGTTCCTCTTCATTTCTGGTAATATTATTTTTTCTGAGTCTACTTTGTCTGATAATAATATGTCCACTCCAGCTCTCTTACGGTTAATGTTTGCAGGTGTAAATGTTTTATCCTCACACTTCTAATCTCAGATTTTATATTTTAAGTGGGTTTCGTATAGAAAGCATCTAGTTCACTCTTGGTTTTTTATCATGTCTAACAATCTGCAAATTAAAGAGGAGGGTTTAAGCCATTTATACCTCATGTAATTATCAACATGATTAAGTATGAAACTATTATCTTGCAATTTCCCCCTCTATTTATCCCATATGTTCTTTGTTCTCTTTTCCCTCTGCTTCCGTCTTCTTTTGATTAATGGAATCGGTTTTAGTATTCCGCTGTTGTTCCAGCTTTAACTATGTTACTTTTACGTTTTTTAGTGATTTTTATGGTCTAACCTATGCGTCTTTAACCTAACACATTCTTCTCTCAAATAATATTGCACCACTTCTCCGATAATGTAATAACTTTATAATACAACAATACACTTCCATTTTATTCTCCCCCCCCATTGTGCTACTTTTGAGATTATGTATATATATATATATTCTATGCATATATAGAGAATATATTCTGTGCACATATAGAGAATATATGCTATGCATATATAGAGAATATATTTT